TCTAACCCTTTGTAGCTCAAATTGATGTCAGATTCAATGTAGGTAGTCTGTAAGTGTAACCACTCGATGATAGTGYATGTACTGCAAATATTTCAGTAAGGACTGAGTATAGAACGGATTCCTCTGACTGTGAAAAAAAAGAATTGGAAGAATGGGTGTCATCTTTTTGCGATTTCAAGACTGTGTGAACAATAGGCAACTAACTTCAAAATTACACGAGTGAAGTTTTCCACCGAAGAAACAGTTTTATTATCCGAAAATGGGATGCCCTGCTGGCAAATAAGGTCTCACTGCCAAAGAAGGCGGGTTTCGTAACCCCTATAGTAGACCCCTAGCTCTCCAACAATCTTGCATAACCCTGATATATCAAGTGGCTCCGTTTGCTAAATCAGTCAATTTCCAATAAATCACAAATCCCCGGTAAACGAGGATTACAAATCGACCAATCCGTAAGTGAACGAGTAAACCAGTTGTTTTATTAGCATGAAATCTTCTGTGCCCTAAGTAGTGTATAAAGAACGAAAGAGTGTGTTTTATCGGGTGATAAAGATCCGAGCCGAAGGCGAGGATCTTTAGTCCCGATAAAACACACTCTTGAGTTCTTTATACTACTTATCAAACTTAAATAATTCATAATTCTAATAATAATTGTAAATATTAAAGTTATTGCTGTCTATATGTTTTTCGGCTTGTTGTTTATCTCCGTAGCCTTATTCCACATTCATTCTAAAACTCGGTTCCTGATTGAYAATACTTTGTTTTGATTAGTTAAAGAATAGTTCGTTATACCATTCAAACTATTCACCCTACATTGAACAAAAGCTTAATGAATGACTTCAAAGTGTATTATCAGCTATATAATATAGGGTACTTAGTGTGCAATGCATTGATTGTCTATTTGTCATTGTTTTGTGTATTATCAGCTATATAATATAGGGTACTTAGTGTGCAATGCATTGTCTATTTGTCATTGTTTTGTACAAGCTATGGTATTATAATAAACTATCAAGGGAATTTCATCTTATTAACTATTCAAGGTACCAAAAATTTAATTCAGTTTGGCGAAACATGAGTCTGTTTAGAAAGCCAAAATCTAAAGAAGAAGAACACGCTTGTGTAAGCTCGAGCGTTCCAAAAAATACACGGTATGCGACGAATTGGGCTATCACTCGGTTTTGCGACTGGCAAAAGACCCGAAGCAACAAAAAAGCTGAATTCGAAACTACAAGTTTCATATTTGCCGCGGATATAAAGTCATTGCAAGATGCGGATACAAACCTGGACGAAATGCAGGCAGAATCACTGAATTTCTCGATGATTAAATTCTTACAAGAAGAGGTTGCCAAAAAAATGGAGAATTGTWCCMGCCAAAGACATTACACAGCATCGTATGTGGCGGCTTTGAATATTTTCAGGGGAGTGCGGGGCTGATAAAGTACTAATGAATAAAATATTAGGACTTTATCGCTCTACTTTTAGTTTGTTTGACTTTTTCCCTGGTATAAAGATATCATCACGTGATTATCTGACAACATTTTATTGGCCAATTACCTTATGAATTATTAATGAGTTTGATAAGAGCTAATAAAAACTGCTCGTCTGTGCCTAACTTAATCAGTAAAAATCCACCAGAAGATTGCAATACTCAATACTCAAAATACACTAATGGCACAAGGGCGCATCCAGAAACTCCAGAAAAAAGACATTTACAAAGTTTTTGTTGGTCTGTCTGTCCGAACTATACAGGTATTTGAACTTTCCCTTGCACACCCCTTGGATCCGCCCCGTTGACAGTAGAAATATGCGATGAGTCCACTTTGAAAGAGACCGACATTGAAATAAGATCATTCTCTTCCAAGGCCTACAGGCAGAGCCTTACGATAATATTCTTAATCTGATTCTTAAGTCTCGGCCTCAAAGAAAGCACATTACTCACACTGTACAGGCCCGTAGGCTGGTCCAGCTTAAATGTTCCGGTGTTTCTCTTTTTTATTGTTCTATTTTAAAATTCTTTTGTTATGAACTGTTTTTGAGATAATATATTGTTATGAACTGCTCATTCTAGCAGCCAGTTCTTACACACTATACCTGCATGGAACTAGTTTAGTTCAACATGTAATTTAGGTCCGCATTATGAAAAAAACGAATCCCCCCGCATTTGTAAGGCAGCCTACGGGCCTGCTGTAATACAAGGATACATAACTAAGATGTTATATGACAGCTATCGGTGAATTCACAGGAACACCAAAGAAACAATTGCAGACAAACAACGAAGGGACATAACTAAATGTACGGTAATACTAGCAGCAAAATCTTCCAACTTGTCTCGCAACATTGTTGCAAAGCAAGTGGCAAAGCGATTTTGCACGTTGGCAAACCAAATTGTCTATCAAATCCTCATTTCTGATTGGACAATGCAGTCACCTGATTATGCGCGATGTCATTTTGCTGCGAGCAAGTTGGGTTGTGTGATAATACGCGCAACATCGACGGATTTTGTTGCAAAAAGTAGAACGATCTTCTACTTTCTGCAACAAACATTTTTCAACCTGAAACAAATTATTTTGCTGCGAGACAAGTTGGTTCGGTGGTAGTAATACGCGCGCGTACCATCGCTTTGCCACTTTCGATGCAATGTTGCGAGACAAGTTGAACGATTTTGCTCCTCGTATTACCGTACCTTAACATAACCAATGCTATTTCGATGCCTCGTTACAATATAAAAGAATAAGTTTTATTATTGCATTAAAGTTCTTTCCTTTTATACAAAAGTCAGTGATGTAATACCCTTAATTAAATCAACTTGCAGTATATATAAAACACTATCATAGAGTGGTTACACTTAACCCGTGAAAGACTACCCTACGAGGCTGACTTGATGATCACTGATTAAGAGAAATAATAGTACGTCACGTAAATTGAATGCATTTTTCCATTTCTAAGATCGATAAAGATCCATCTTGACAGTCAATCGTACAATCGTTTTAACATTTTTCAAAATGACAGAATCATCAAATCAGTGTTATTATATTATATTCTCTTTTAAAATACTTTTCCGAGCCTAAAAAGTTTCATAGATATCATCTACGTCCTTGACTATAAAGAACTTGGCTTGGAATGGAATTTACTGGCGAAGCTCGGCTTTCAAACTTGATAAAAGCATCCATTAAATCGTCCCCAGTCCCAGACGGCGTCTGTTCTAAAGTGATGTTGAGGTATCTTTGTCGTAAAATGAAGGCTGCAGCTTTGGGCTGCCTTTCTCGTGTAAGAATTCCTTTCTTATTTCCAACAACTCGAGTTATCCCTATAAAATACACCAGGCATTTGTGTTAGTCATCTTATAAGGATAAATAATAAACATATTCTTTGCCGAATAAACGACCTCCAACAAGAGGGAGACTACAAAGAAATGTTGAATGCATGGTGCTTGATAGAGTCATGAACAAAATAACAACAAAATACAATATAGTACATGTGAACAGTGATTGCTGAGCATACTGCTATGCTGTGACGTCATAGGGTACTAGGACAAATCAACATATAAATTGTCGTGCTGTTAAATAATCGATTGTCGAGAAAACAATTGTAATTATACCTTGCGTAGTCATGAAGTCAGCAAAGTTCCAAATCATTTCTCCAACGAAGAATTCCTTCCTTAGTTTATCAAATACGGGGAAATATTGCTGCAATGTTTCCACCTTTAAAAAAAGCAAATTAATTAGCTGCAATCATAGCCTGCGTTAAAGCCTTCGTCCACAGGGATCCCAAGAGGGCCGCTACGAAGGCTATAAGATAACGGTCTGTCTAACAAATTCGAGCGTTATCTTATAAAAGTCGATAGAGCACGCGCGTGTCTGACCAACAAATATGCGCGTGATATTTATATCATATTTACATCATCAAGATTACTTCGAGATAACTGCCATCTTACAAAAAACTCATTTCAGTCATACCTGGTATTCTTCAGTGAACATCACAGGAGGGTCCTATGAAAGTAATCAAGTACGAAGTGGTTTATTTATAGTTTTTCAACAACTTCTAAATTAATAAACTACTGAATCGAAACTATTTGAGATTTTCGAAAAAAGTATTCATATACATGAATTCGTGCGTGCATTACACCCTTTGAATTTGAATTGATTCTGCATATGCTTTTTTAGCACAATAAACCATTTTCGAATTCTAAGCGAATAACCGCTGTTTTATTTGACAGCAGATTCAGTTACGCAAAAAACTTACCAAACACAAAAGAAAGCACGAGAAAATGTGGCTTGTAAAATAGCGCTAACAATTTACATTTTCCCCGAGTTGAGGCTAACCCGGTATTCCCAAAAGGCTCATACCTTAGGTCTTTTGAGAATACAGGGTTAGTCTCAAGTCTCTTTGCGCAAGAGAATCTGTTGTCAAATAAAGCAGCGGTTTTTCGCTCTGAACTCGAAACTGGAGTATTAAGATTCTGTTACACCGTTGCGACGCAAGTTGCTGAAGTATTGCACAGTAGTAGTTTTTGAGACTCAAGTATACGTTTCTCAACATGTTGCACCAACGTGCAACGGTATTGCATGGTGCATCACAATATCTCCTGCAATCAGTTTTAGAGTCACGTATACTTAAGACCCGTTTACACTTGCGATTTTTGCAGCGCGATAATCGCCACTTTGCTATCGCGCAACTAAAATCGTACGTGCAAACAGCCCTGTGATTATTGCGGCGATGGAAAATCGCCGCGAAGTTGCAGCAAATTTGAAGGCATGTTTGAAACTCAGGCGATGATCGCCGTGAGAATCGTTCTGCAAAAATCGCAAGTGCAAACGAGCCTTCAGAGTGCATGCGCAATTTTTCATTTGGAATGTCCACCAAGTTGCACTATTTCAAGTTTCTTGGGAAAACGGTACAGCATAGCAGAGCTATAATTTTGTTTCCTAACAATTCTGTCGCAGCGGCATTGCGAGTTACTTAAAAGATATTTCTCAGCATAACAGTACCTTCAGTCAAAGATTTAACACGATACTTACTACATGCATCCCCGCAACTGTGTCTGCACCATACTCCGCCTGTACAACCGGTTTTTGGAACTTGTTAAACCAGTCTCTGAGCTCTTTTTCGAGTTGTGCACTAATGAGTTCTGTATGGCCGTAGTCGTGGTACCAGGAGTAGTATCGATTACATAAGATGACGTCACTAAACTGGGTCTAGAAACGAAACGATACACTCCTAATGAAAAACCGTTGTAAAGCAAAATGATAAAATGATTAAAAAATTCTGGGTTCTCGGAAATTTCAATTATATTATTTACAATTAACAGTGTATTTACAATTCTCCTCAACGAAATTATCACTATTATTCAGTGAATAAAGAGTTTGGAAAATAAAAACATATAATAACTAATTATCGGCCTTCCCAGTCTTCCGCGTTAGCTTCGATGACGCACCGTTTCTGAATAAATGTATAGTAAATGTATATCAGCCTAAAGTTTCTTGCTTACCACTTTGTCATTCCACGCTTTAAAGTGCGTAACGAACGTCACAGGTCTTGTTGGGTCAAGTTCACGGGTCAGTTTGAATATTGGTCTATAAACGTAAGAATACCATCAGTTCTCTACTTCCTTTGCTCGTTATTAATTGACTGATTGGCTGAGAGCCATACAAATGATACTCTTATAATATACATCACATAAAATAAACACACTATCATTTTGTTACAATATGGAGGTGGCCGTGTTACATGGCCGTAATATCATAAATGTCCGTTGTATAGAGGTGGCCGTAGCATGTACATGTCCGTGCATAAAAAAGTCCTTAATATACTAGATACGTCTACAGAATAAGTTAATTTAGAGATATCCGTCATAGTAAAGTGTGTTTCCAAAGTATGGGTGTGTCCACAGTATAAAGGTAATATAATACTATAGAGTTGACTGTAGAGGTGTCCGATTTATTCTGTGAACGACGAGATTCCATATGTGTAACTAAATAGCGCGTGTAATGATGCGTCAATGAAACTTTACGTACTCGAAGTATGCAGTAGCTTTAGGTATGTCAGCCTTGGGTTCGTTAGCCACTGACCACATGACGACTGCAGGGCGATTCTTGTCTCGAGTGATGAGTTCTTTCATAACGTTAAGGTGATGCTTTAATAAAGGTAATTCATAGTTGTTCCTATAAATCATACAACAATACTTGACGTTTATCATGTTTTATGAACAAAGTGTAACAAGTAAAATGTGTGACATACCCAAAAAATAACAGAAAAACGTTCAAAATTTCACTACAATGGGAAAAGTGCACGTTTTGGGCCAATGGGAGGATTTCATTTGGGAAGGTACTAGATACTTAAAGTCAGCCACATGCTTAAAGTGCAACTGAACTCAATTTTTTTAAAATTAGGATAATCTATCCTATAGAAATAGTAACTTGCCGCAAAAAGGTTTTGAATTGGATGAATTTCCGATATTCATCGTTAGTTTGAATTTCCCGCCAGTTCGAAAAAAAGAGGTCCCTCTGTATAGACCAAGAGAATGGAGGAGAAAAGAAAGAGAGAACGAAAAACGAARCAAGAGGAACAACTGGTACAAGAAAGGTGGATATAGCAGTGTAGTTTTCATACCAGCTACTCCTGATTCTGAGTTAAAGAGGAAGTTGGAGGACGATGTAAGAAGTTCAGRCAWCAAAGTCAAAATCGTGGAGAAAGCTGGCGTAAGTGTGAAACGGATGTTACAAAGATCGGATCCGTTCAAGGAGAGAGCATGTAGAAGAGAGGATTGCTTTGTTTGCTGTACAGGGGGTAATGGTCCTTGTAGAGCGACCAGTGCCACGTATAAGATCAGTTGCAGCGAATGCAGCCAGACGTACATAGGAGARACATCCCSAAACACGTACATGAGAGGAAGAGAACATTTGAGGGAGTTGGACAATAGAAGTAAAGGTTCAGTCTTGTGGAGTCATGCAAAAGAGGAACACGAAGGCAAGATTCCTGATTACACGTGTGATGTTACAAATGGTTTCCAGGGGGACGCTCTACTCAGACAAGTGAGTGAAGCCGTACTTATAAACAAAGTGAAGCCTGAAATGAACACGAAGAAAGAGTGGAACTTTGCTAATATCCCGCGTGCWAGAATTAATTARTWAATTAATTAGTTGTTTTGTATGCGCGCTCACCTTTCTCGTTTTGTGTTGGTGCGCGCGCCGTTAGTGCGCGCTACCCATCAATGTTTGTTTACGAATTTTTCTTCAACTGTTGTAAAACATATAGTGAACTGAAGAGGTTTTAATAAACGAAACTAGTTTTCACTATTCTTGGTAGTCCCTGGCCTGTACGTACGAAAATCGTTACGTTGGAGTGATTTACATTTGTAAAGTTTATGGCTCGAAAAAAAGCGCTTTCTTTGAAATCAGGGGCCTGATGCGAATGTGACGTCTCTCACATTTCCGGAGCCTTTCAAAGTAAATAGTGGACATTCTAAGGTAATCATTCCTGTTACATACGCCTTTGAATTATAAGCCAACTTTCAACAATTCTTAGTTGATGAAATATCAGCCGATTTAAGAACTTTGGTTCCTAAGTAGACGTCATACTAGACTCGACTCAGGCCCCAAAGATAGTTCGCGGCCATTTCTGAATTATCAAAAAATTAAGAACTTTAACGTTTCACAAGAAAAAACGAGCTTTTAACCATTTTCCATGAAGGCACAGAAAACGTTTTATTTTTTCAAGGTGGTTTTCCTCATGTTTGGAAAAAATTGAGTTCAGTTGCACTTTAATGGATAACATTTTGTAGTCGTATACTCTGTTTTTTCATACGCTAATAGTGAGGCCGAGATCTTTTGTGTCTAATGCTGTACTAGTAAACTGGGATTGTGCCTGTGTTTCCAAGAGAGCAATCAGTGTCATCTGCGACTTAAAAATCATTAACTTCTGTCTCTGGATACCGCCTGGATCGTCGAGGATGTCTTACTTACTACTCCTGTATCATTATCCGATCTGGCCGTGTTTAGATTGTCTATCAGGATAATAAAAAGTAAGGAGGCGAGCACATCTGACAAGTGGCAACAAGGAAGTGTTTATGGGCGCTAATGTGACAGACAAAAGCTTTCAAGACTTTTTACGCGTTTACGCGTTTGACCGCGGTATCAAACTCAACTGCAACTTGTATCACGTTTCTGGATGGYGCTTTGCGAATTGTGTGGCTACAGCAGGGAATCACAGCGTACACAAGTGAATGGTTATCAAGATTTTCTAGAGGTCATCACGTATGTTTAGTTGACTCGCGGAGTACCTTAGAGGATAACAAGTGAGTCCACAGAGTACTTTTTGAGCTCATGAAACTACCAGACCTCAATTGTATTAGTCATAGATTTAGACAGGTTCTTAATAGTATGGAATGAACTTTTTTCTCAGGCATGGTCACAAACCAAAGTTCTTGAAGCGTATTCACTCGTTTGGCGGCCACTTATCCACAACCTGGTGGCACAAAGTCTGCATCAAAGTACAGTGCCACTTGTGACAGTGTTCTGTCTTGCGCCTTGCAGATCATGTGGCTATAGCACGGAACCTGAAGGTACACCTGTCTATAGCGATCACCAAATTCAGGAGTTATTCGAGTTATTATCCATCACCTATCTTCAATTGAATTGACGATTCTCTTAGGTGGGTTATCACCCCTACTTGTCCATTGACCACACCTAGCAGTTTGTTTTCATTGCGTGTGATCATTACGCGCATTCCTGTGTACAGTTCTGTTGTACGTTGAGGATACACTTCTAGAACACATTCTAACAAGATAAGCTTGAGTGAAAACAGATGCTCTATGATGGCGTTGTTGATAAATTCTGTACAACGTTTGGAGGCTGTTGGAGGTCACTTGAGGGTGCTGATCGTAAAATTGGACGAGCTCCAGGTTATTGCTTTGCCTTCGACATATGCCTCTATCTTGGGTGAGCTGGTAGAGTACTCTGTAGGTTGGTGGCCAATAGCAGCTGTGTTCAGCGTGTTGACAATGTGTTTGAAGATTCTGTTGTACATCATCGATATAGTTCCTCAACTACAAGGACATCTACAAAATTTAAGTTCTCATTATATGAAACCTTTTATTATAGAGGCCAGCATGCCAGCATACATTGAGGTCTCGCCTTAGTGACCACTTAATGAAGGCATTGATGACCTGAAACTTTCCGGTACCTGGCTATCTTCAATTAAGAGTTACTTTTGCCAGTCGTCTCAGTTTTGGATAGCTGACCTCTCCCTTCTCGTTGAAATCCAGAAAACTCTGCTCGTTTCTCGTCAGTATAAGGGTTTGAAAAAGATGCATTTTCTAGTGGAGGCAGTGAGGGAGGATGACTAGCAATTTGTTTTCCCAGAAGAGTATACCACCAGGTATCGTACACGTCTCTCAGCTTTTGAACATAGATGATCACGTTTGCAATGTACATGTCCTTGTGGCCTTCCATGGCAAGGCGTTCTGTTATTATGGTTTCGCTTCGTCATCTGCCATGAGTCAGATGGGTGTCTTTTTCAGTATTTCTGCAGTAGTTGACCGTTTGGTTCTTTCTCAGATTTAGGTGGAACAATTTTCTTGGTAACACACGACGACCAACCTAGTTTGATGGTGGACATCTGAAGAATCATTTCAGGAGATAAGCTGACATGTACGGAGCGCCAAAAAAGGCTATTCAGCATTTGAGCGTCATGAGATAGCTCGCTCATCAGTGGTTTGCACATCCATGCGGCATTTGAGTGCCGGGAGGACTTCCGCTATGTAACCTCTAAGATTTTCGGAGACAGCAGAGTGGGGATGGCATATTTTTGAGGACATATTTGTTGTCAACAATGTTGCTTCTTGTATCATCTTCGAACTCCTCCAGTGCATTTTGGAGCGCTCCAGATCTTCCACAAGAAAAGCGTGACGTACGTTATTCCATGGAAAGTCCTTTCAATGGATTGGACATTCGTCTTCTTAGATCCAGTCAAAGCAACAAATGCAGGTGGCACGTTCCTCTTTCTTGGAACACTAGCCTGTAGAAATCCCTATGTTGATGTGTTCGGAACGTTCCAGTTGATAGAAAATATGTTGTTTCCATTTTGCGTCATTCTTGCCTGTCAGAAAACCTCTCACAATTTGTTCAAGAGTGTGAGAAACGTGTAGGCTTTCTAAACAAGGAACGCTTGTTTGTGTTAGACACTGGAACGACATGGCTTGAGAAAGAAACTTGGCATACGGGAACGTCCATTCCCATGGACAGACGGTGATGAACTGTTGAGGGTAGCCAAAACGTCTAACGCTGTCGATCAGCTGGAGGATGCATGCCACTTTCAAAACTTTGGACTGAAGATTTTGGTCTCCAGTGATCGAGCAGCGGAATAGTGCATACGCATCCCCGTTGTTATTGCGCCCGAGACTGTTTTAAAGATCCACTTATCATATTGCCACTGGAATACTTCGTAGTTTAAGGAGTACTCGATAATTTCACTTTGAACTTTGATTAAGAAAAATTTTGGTGCAGAAGATCTTGTTCCATCACCAGAAATAACACTCTCGCACCAAGTTAAGAATGAAGTGAGGCCATGGAGCGCATTCTATGCCCTCATTGAAACGGTAGTCATACACGGATAATTTGTACTGCCAGACCTCACCTGTACCTCTCTTCTACAAATTTCAAAAAGAAACTTTATATCAGAAACTCATAGACTACTTGACATCTCTCGCATCTTCGTCAGGCAAATCCTGTATTTTTCGTTAAGCAGATGTCTCGCTCCACGAGCATCGACTGAATTTTAATTTTCTTGGAGATTCCTTAGCTCAAATGGAATCTTGCAGACTGCAGGTACAACGTACGTTATGCCTTGACATGCGCAAGCACTAGTAGGTTTCGCAGTAGTCCCGTTGCGAAAGCTTGACAGCATCATTACAATTCGAACGCTATTACAGGATTTGCATGCATGCCAAGAACTGTAGATGCACAAATTGCGTAGTGATCGAATTTCCTTTTCTTCTGTCAAGCCCAGCACCATGCTCTAGCTAGAAATTTGAGCTTGAAAAAAATCTTGGAACGCTTTCCTCTTTGTTTTTCCATGTCATGTTTTCCGGTATATGCTATTCCTCTTGTAATACCGCTGTCACTTTGCCTTGCCTAAACACCCAAAGAGAGGCGTCATCCGAGTATCTCAAATACTATAATCAATTTACTCGCTTTTACCGGTATGTTGATCATGATGCTTTAGCATTTCATGCTGCCACTAGAGATCTCAGCTACATGAATAGTTAAATATACAAGTATGAATCACAGCAAGAAGTCAATAAAAGAAAACCCAGAAACAATCTCCATTGTATTGTAATATACGCGAATTTGCGTGACTGCACAGAATACTTACACGCCAATTCCAACGCCTGGAGATTCATCAACGACAACAATACCCTGTTCATCAGCCATGTCCATTATTTCCTCTGCATAGGGATAGTGACTGGTACGAAATGCGTTCCCACCAAGCCAGTTCATGAGATTGAAGTCTTTTGCAATAAGTGCATAATCTAAGCCTTTTCCACGAATCTGAAGAAAAGATAATACAAAGGTGAGGCTTAGCTGTTTGCAGGATAATTATTTCCTCGCGGTAGTTTGAAGAACGCATACAAAACAAATTTATACATGATAATCTATTTAGTATTATGATTACCCTGCGAGCAAAGGAATTTTTCACCCCCTTCTACGAAGAAGAAAAAAAAGCGCCAAGGAAATTTGTTCACCCCCTTCTACGTAGAAAAGGATTTTTTCCTTTTATTCGTAGAAGAAGGTAGAAAAATTCCTCTGCTCGCAGAGTATATTATCATCGGAGTCATAGCAAAAGAATTTCTTGTAGGCACAGAATATTTTTCAATCGAGGCAAATGATATTGAGTATACCGAAGTGGTGGAAACTAGCGGTAAACTAGTGTGAGCTGCGTCGGTGTTTCTATAGAGACAGTTGTGCAACAAGAATAAATTTAAACACCGTAAAAAAGTAGGTGAATTAAACAACTTACTGACTTTGAACGTTAATGCTTCGTCGGTGTAGAGAAGGATTAACGTCCGAAATGTCAGTAAGTTGTTTCACCAACTCTTTTACGGTGTTGAAATTTATCTTTTTACACAACTGTTCGAGTACATGTATATGGTGTAAAATTTCAATTAATTTTTGTTAATATTGTTGTTCCTTGTACTTGTTATTTTTTGCGTTTTTAGAGCATTTCTTACATATTTTGCTTTCATGGAGTGCACATGCAAGAAGATGTCCCCTCGTTGGCTATGACCCTGATCGTTATCAGACACAATACAAAGTGATTTTGTTCACTTAGAGGTTGTGTGCTTTGTGCAAAAGGACCATATGCTTTGTCTGACTTATAGCTTGTGCGCCTTGCCACCTGTTACATCTAGACACTCTGCTTGGTAATAATAGAATCTCCCTTACTTCCATTTTCAAAAATTAACTAAAAGTGTACCTATAGTACTATTAGATTAATGGTATTTTGTAGATTTTTTCAATCCCCAAACAATATCTAAAAAATAACAAGACTTAATCTCTTTTCAAAACTGTTTGCGTGTCAGGCCAAAGGAAGCCCAACCAAGAAGTTTTAAAGGAAGCTGGGAAACACATACTTACATCTGCATCTTCATGCTTGCCAAAACCTTTGAAGTAAAATGGCTTGTCATTTATCAGAAACTTTGTTTTATCTGTTTTGACTGTCCTCATTCCAACTGGTATGCGGTAAATATCAAGCAGATCTCTAGATGGTACACTAGTGATTACCTAGAATAAACAACAAACTGCAACTGAAAACAGATCTTAAAACCAAAACATAAAGTATTGTTTCTTATGAGTGAGATATATGTATACCATATATAACCCAGATAATCCCTATAGTCATCAAATGATAATAACTATGTTTAGGCAGTACCCCCTGAATATATTAATGGTGGCCAGTAAGCCCTTTACTTAACCTCACTCAAAATTCTTAGGCAATTTCATTATTAAAAGTACAATGACACTTTTGACAGTGTGTTGCATAATTTTTATAAATAAGAATGTATAAACCCCTTGCACAGGACAAAATAATGAATGTTTGTTCCCAAGATGAAGTTGCTTTGACATCTAATGCAAGGGGGGTCTATAAAACATGTAAGACATAAGATATGTAAAGTGTATGTCAGAAGAAAATATCCATTTTTCATATGAGATTCACCTGTGACAATTAAGCCATAACTTTATCACTATAAAACATCACCCGACAAAGAAAGGGTGCTGAAACAACCTTTCATCTACTTATATCATATTATTCAGTAATTAGAATGGTAAATATAGACTTACTTTCAGTGTGTACAGGTAAGCAGTGATGTTACTCATACCAACAGGCCACCAAAGTATTGGGTTCTTAATTGTAAACTGACCCTTAAACATGTCAGCACCACTATCTGTAGCCACCACATAGTTATCCTTATCTAACAAATCATATTTCATTGTAATTTCATTCTCAGGTACTGTATCAGGAGCTCCAACTTGACAGTCAAATTGAACAACAGCTAACTGAGAGGTTTGGTCATAGGATGTGGTGATGGTTATATCTGAGAGATATGCTATGGATGTGGTGTACAGCTTGACAGGTCGGTGGATGCCTGCATAGTTGAAGAAGTCAAAAGTGTATTTTTGAACAAAGTAACCTGGAGGATACCTGAAACAATTATGATAATGATCATCACTATGTCTGCCATAAACTATGCATTCAGATCACATAAAACTACTTTAAGTCTTTTGGGGTTATTTTATATTGCTCACTTAGTGATATTGATTATTAGTTTTGACATGCTGAGGCCATCAAATATTATTACATGGTGGCATGCTAGCTGTTATTAGGGTGGTTTTACTATCTAACAAAGGAGGAGTAGGTGCATTCTACATACCCATCACCTCCTGTCGGGTATTCTATGGTCCCTGGCGGTAGTGTTGTTGGTGTAAGAGTATTATTCACAGCTGCTGTTATCCAGTTGACTTTGTTGTAAGCAAGATCTGTTGTGATTTCAACTTCAAATGGCAGGTGTCCACCTTCATGTTCTACGACCTTTTTCCCATTCACCCACTGCAATACAACACAATAATATTTATACATCCTCAATTAAATAGAAAATTATGTATTCAGGATATATTCAAGCAAGCATATATCCAATAAAAAGAGGTTTTTTTTGAAATTTTCCAAATCACATGAGTTCTACATGCATGGTCAAGATCCATGTCGTAACAATAACAAAAAAACATTTTGTAGACAGAACCTAATAGTTACAAGCCAGCTACAAGTACAATGTTTTTGTCCATTTTTAGTACTGGTACAGCTTGTCTAAGCTCAGAAGGTCAAAGCAAGTGCTGAAAATGGAACCTACTTACCACTATGCTGTAGTAATGTGCACTTTCAAACCTCAACACAACTCTTGTCTTGTTCAAGTCATYCCAAGAATGAGGGACAAAGAATTCTCTGTCATACCACACCCATCCTATAAAGTCCCTAAGGGTCCTATCTTGGGTAATATCATTATAACTTGATGGCACAGGCATTGGAATGGTTGCACCAGACTGAAACACATAATACAACTTGTTAACAGAATATGACTAATATGACTATTTTGGCTACCCTTCCCCAAATAGAGTCATTTTCATTCGTCTGTGAAACAATTATACTAGTCAGTGTTTAATAGTACCTATTAAGGTGTAGTATGCTAACAAAAGGCAAAACCAAAACCATTTTTGCCTAATTTGTGTGTTGCATGTCATAAGTTAAACTATTTGGAGCTAATAGGTAGTACAATTCCTATTTCACAGATTTGGATGAAAATTGACTATTTTTTTCTTGCATTTCTTTTTTATGTGCTCCTTTGAAAGAATGAAAAAAGTTTTGTATCCCTATCTCTTCTTGCTGGTACATACAACTATGTAAGGACAAAACAATTAATACAAGAAGAATGTTTTTAAAAAAACATTAAAAAAAACAATTAATCAGCTTTTATTGTATCAGACATGAGAGCAAGTTGTAAATTATGTTTTATTAAAGCTGGCTCTATGCACTTCCCAAACAGGATTTTTAATTTTATTCCAGTCACAGTCTCTAAATTGTATTCCTTTCAGAGTCTAGGTCTTAAACTATTTAGAGTGGGATTCCTGTGGCAATTATAATGGAATTATAAACTCAAAACAATTAAAAAGTCAATAKAAAATCAAGTTATCTGTGGTCTGATATTGCTTTGATAGATATTTTGTTTATCTTTTTTGGGGTTTTCAAAAATAAAGATATTCTTTTAAACCAAGGAGTTCACCATCCTGTTTTGCTAAGAGATCAACAGGTTGCTAATGTGAACTATGATGGTGGCAACATGAATATTACCATTCACTTCAACAGACATCAAATAATTTACTACTGTTTATTTTTACAATAATCATATTGGATTTCAAAAAAAAATATTATAAACCAAAAGACATATAACTGTATAAAAACGTATGTTTTTCAATGTCAAAACATTACTGTTAAAACGTAACAATGAAAATTTTTACCTACAGTTTTTATATTTTTGGTTAATTATTGATATTTTTGAAAGTCTAAGGTTTTCGTTTGTAGTTGAATGCGGGACTCAAAGACTTCAGAATCCTGGTTTTATGAAATGGTTTGTAATTATTAAGCTTAAGTTGAAATGAAAAGTCAAAAAGAATTCGCATTCCAAATTCTTAACTTCAATAAGCTTACTGTTTTTGTTCAAAAATAGTCTTTCTGATATAAAAGTAAAATCAAAACTTCAATACATTCTAGTCACAAGAAAATTCAAACGAAAACGTTTCAAATACCTTTGAAAGTGGCTTTGAGAACCATGACTCCCGAAAGCCCGCTTCTCGGTCATTTGACATGTCAGCGCGGAAATTCCACAAACCACACAAATCTTTGACTTCGCGAGTTTCCGAGTCTTTCACTCGCAACATCCCTTGTACTTCAGCAGATGCCTCTAGAGTCAAATACAAGCAGCTTAACACTACTAATAACTCTATTTTAGTCCATGATTTATGCATTTTTCCAGC